AGGAAATTGAATTAAAATAATCTAAAAGTAACTTCATAATTTGGCGCATTTATTACACGTGCCAAGTTCCCAAAAGGTTTCCTTCTGGTTGAATGTACTGTTAAGTCTGTTAAGGCAGTATTCTGCTGTGTCATTCATTTATTACTGTTTATAGCTGTCAGGCTTTTACAGGAGGCAAGAAAGATTTGCACCTTACAGACCAGCTAAATCAGAGATGTATAGCATATTTTTTGTGAGCCCAAGCTTACTTCATCAGATGCTATTAATCTTATCAGAGTTTTATCTATCATATCTGAATTTTTGTAAGATTTGAAAGTTGACTTGAAAAATATGGGCATTTGGGAGATCCGATTTAGATTTTGTCCACACTGTAGCCTGTGGACAAGTGATCTATAAAAGTGATTCATATGAGGATCATATGTTAACTGGGATCTATGTAGAATATCAGAATGAATCCTAAAGATCTACTAGTAATATTTTAGGCAATGGTTGCTGTTTGTAGCCTCCTTGACAGGGGAAGTGGTGAATGAGGAATTGGGTTTTGGGGAGTTTTTTTTTTTCCCCAAGATCCATGTTAACCAAGCACTGTTGCCCTGCAGAGAGATGTCTGACATTGTCTGATGACACTTGTTATAAAAAGGTTTTCAGAAAAATTCACCAATGAAACTGCAAACTATTAATCTTACATAGATACTGTGCCCTAAGCCCTAAGCAGGGTTTCTACTGTAGCAGCAGGGCCAAGGAGTATCCAGGGAACCTATTGAAACTTGTTGAATATGCTGATAGTGGTAGATTTTTTTCATTAGCTGTCCTGCCGTAACTCAGAGCAGGTTTTAGCCCAATGTGTATGGCTCAAATAGAGTCAAGATAAAACTGTAAGCTTTGGCTATGCTGTAAGCTTCTTTCCCCTACAGTTAAAATTTCATGCCTGAATATGATGGTGTCCCAGTCATGTCATAACTACTGATTCATCTGGCAAAAGCAAAATCAAAATCTTTTGTAAAATGTAAATGGAACCTTAGATGCTAATGAAGAAAGGGAACAGATCTAACCTCAGGTTACGTCTGTTAAAAATCCTTTTATTTCACCTTTGACTAGGGGCAGAGGGGGTAGTCTGTGGTAATTTCCCTGCTATACTCACACAGACATTTATCTCTTTTTTCAGAACAATGAAAAATAAATCTTTAGCATGTGTTTCCCTTTTGCTTTCTGAATGTTCCATAATTTTTAATATATACTTTTGTATCTGAAGGTGCGTATACTAGAAAATTATGAAGTTGCTTTTAACTATTTTTCCCTCTGACTATACTTGCCTAAATGGTTAATACATTGTCTACAACCAAGTTGTTTTTAAAAAGAAAACAGTTTCAGTAACATCCATTCAATACTGTGTGGTAGGTACCATGAAGGAAGAAGTGTCTTGGGAGTTGCTGCACACACTTTCAATGTTTTTCTGTCTTTATAAAATTTTACATTGAAGCATATTGAACATACTGCAGGTGTCAGTAAAAGACTGTAAGCTTGACTTTGAGGTTTTTGCTTGCTGTGCACTTTGCAATCAGCTTCTTCCTGAATCTTTCTGAAATCTCTCTTGGGGGGAATATTTCTTAACTTTTAACAATGATGTTGAAAAAGCTTAGCACTAGCTTTGATGGCTAGTTCAGGTTGCATTAGCCAGGCTAGAATACAGTATTTGGTTTCTGCAAGGTATCTTCTGTTTCTTTGCACTTTGCACATATGTGATAGCTAAAGCATAGAAATATTCTTTAGAAAGAGTTTGGAGTCAAAAGAGACAACTTAATTCTGAAAACCTATGGAGAGAAGTAATATTATATTACTATTATAGTGGACATACACATATCTTTTATAAGTTGCAGGATATATGTTGCTGGGACCTTTTTTCCTTAAGATCAGTCAAGATTTGCTTGGTGAAAGCAGACTTAGGAAAATCTGTTTTGACAGAGAGAATATAAACTATACCATTCACTTAGTTTTCATCTCTGTTTTTATTAAATATAGCTAAGAATGGCCCACAGGGATTAATTTTCAGTGGTATCCTGGGGAAGACAAGAAGAGATGACAATGTCCACATCATTACAACAAATATATGCAGGGAATTAATATTAAAACCCATAACCTACAATTTTCAGTTCTCCAGATAATGAGAATTTAAATCCAGCATAACTCGTAGGTTTTCGCAAATAATTCCAAAACAATATAGCTCTGCAGGTTTAGGACAATACTAAATCCAACTATACATTTAGGAATCTTAAAACTGTTACTGTTTGTTCTAAACTTGATTATTTCTGATTAATAATAACAGCTGAAAAATAGAATTTATATATGGCTACTATTCAGTTAATGGGAAGATCACTCTTAACACCTGCTCTCAGCAGAGTTCCTATGAGATTTCCGAGATCCTGTGATTGATAATTTTTTAGCTTGGAATCTAGTGAAATCCTTGAGACTTAAAGTCCTCTTTGCTTTTATGGTCATGGACCTAATTTTGATAAATGAACCAGTGTCATGTCGATATTTGGTGTCTGAAGTTAGTCTGAAGAATAATGCTGAGAGCTGTAGACTGTCTTTTTGCATTGCAGTGGCTTGTTAAGTCTGAAACTTACAGTTTGAAAGTCTAAGTTTGGGAGCAAAATATGAAAAATCATTTTTCTTCAACATCAGAGACACAAGCAGTCTTATTTCAAGTAAAGACTATTACATTTTCCATTAATACTTTTCATGAAATTTTCAGTATGAATAATAAAACTAAATTGTAGGGATAGGATGAAGGAAGTTAGAACTACATACTCTTTTTAACAAGTTCAAGAAAGAATTGTAAAATCTTTATAATGTCACTCTCTGGTGCCAGTTTTGAACTGCATCAGAACTACCTTTTTAGACTTCTCTTTGCATATTGTTTAAATCAAATTGTAAATTAGTTATAAACCTGTATAAAGTAGCATGACCGAAGGAAACAAAATTATTGATATTTTATAATCTGCGTTTGTATCCCAGAAGACACATCATTTGGTAAAATATTTTATATATACTTGGGTCAATAAAATGTCTTAATTTGTATACTGTAGACCTTTCGCTGCAACTCTACCCCTGGAAAAAAAAGAAATTGCTACTTCTATGCAGACTCTTTTCTTTTATTCTCATTTTTCCTCCCTGAATTTTATAGATTTTGTGTATGTGCTAACACTGTGGTTCAACTACATATGCTTAGACAGAAGCAGGTTATTGCATTCCTTGTGAAAAATATTCTTTGAGAAAATAAGGTATTTGCTCTGCCATTTACACAGGGATAGGCTTTTCTGTGACCTCCATTTTTAACATTCAAGGAAAAAGCGAGTCAAAACAAATGATATTGTCCTGATAACAGCAATTACCAGTGAAAATGGTCTAGTCTTTTCCCTAATGACTATGTCTGTTGAAGCAGCACCCTGATCATGAACATCTGCTCGGCCTCAGAGAGTGCTCATCCTTGGAGATATCTAGTTTTACACCACCAGCTGCTGTAGCAGATTGGAGAAGATGAAATCTCTGTTTAAGTTCTCACAGGGAACTGTGCATTATTCCCTGACAAAGAAGCTCTATAACAAGACAGAAATCACTAGTGTATCTTGCCTTTATGCACTGAATTTTCTTTGGCTTGACTCTCCAAAGTATATTAATGCAGTGTAAATTCTGCATTCGATAAAATATTAGTCACTTTATAGCACCATAAACTTGTGTGGTACTTTATAAACATATAGTAGGACATATTCCCTGTGTCAAAAAGAATTTGATTTTCTTTTTTTTTGGCATCAGGAAGTTAAAATAGAGCTGACTGCATGACCCTGAAAACTATTTTAAAGGACCAAGAAGACCACATTGAAAAATAACATAAAAGCAGAGATTGTGTACTAGGAACTCTGGTCACGCACATCCTGTTGGTCACTAGCACACCTCCCCCTGTAACATTCTGACTCTTTTAAATGGACTACGAGAGAAATAAATTCATTTGTTTAGTGTATCTGTCATATGAGCTTTCACAATTTTATCCTCAATCTTTGTCTTTTCATGAGGTTGTAAACCCAGACAGGAAAAGAGTGAATCTGCAGGGAGGTGACTTATTTTTAGAGGTTTTCCTTCGATGGTGGATTGCTCAAGCTTCCTTGGATAACATACAAACAACCAGTTTCCTCCTCTGTGGAATAAGATAATGTTACTAGTCACCATACATGTCCTGAGAAGCATTTGATCATAACAAAATGAAGAGCAGATCTTACCTTGGTGTGCAGTGAAAGAGAGACCTGGCCTCAACAAGGTCAGGATGAATATTTGTTTTATATTTAATGAACTAGTAAAAAATAGAACCTCTGTGAAAATATGGGAGTTTACAAATACCTGCAGTGGTAGTTTGTTTAAGAAATATAAATACTAACTTGTTCAGTGACTTCAATGTTGTATAGCAATAGATGTGAACTTCTTGAAAATGTTGCTTAGATTCTTAATCAGATTAAATGCTGTTGCTCTCAGTGCATATGTACATAATTTCTGTCTGTCTTTCCTAAGGCATTTTAATGTGCTATGCATCTTAGCATGTAGGTGTCAGTCTTTATAACAGAATAATTTTTTTTTGCTACCCGATCAACAAGGTAACGGTCCTGTTATCCATTTGATCATGTGTCTTAAATTAAACAGTTATCAAAGAAGCACTGTGCTATTAAATTGCCTGTATGTGTTTTAGAATTAAATACAGTAGACAGCATTTCTGAGAGGTAGGATTTTGCTTTCCTCTGGATAAATGGAGAGCATACATTACATATTAGTATAGAAGAAACTCCTTTTTTTTCTCTCTGAATACTGCTACTTGTATAAGGAGTATGAAGAATCTCATGTCAGTGTCAGCACTTTCTAATTCACCTTTTCACCAGAGTCTTGCATACCAGGAATGTCTTGCAGTTTATTTGAGAGAAAGATTAAACTTGATACAAGAAATGAAATGCTGAAATAAAAATTCAAAAGAAAAATCAGTTTCCAGTACAATCACCTATATATCATTGATTTATGGTATACTGCTTTGTCCATTTATCACTCAGTAATCAATTGCAGAAATCTTTGCTATGATTTACCTATTTTTCCCTGAAGAAGAACAGTAATGATATAAAACTGTATAGTTAATAAAGTGAAGAATATTTAGCTTTATGGGATGATCATATGATTTGAAATACTGTAGTGTTTTGAGACCCACAGAAGTATAAAAATATGGTTATGGAATATTCAGCTGTCTGTAATTACTTAATGTCATACTCTTCACTGACTCCTCAAACTGTAGATCTTATCTCTAATGTAGTTTTATTTGAGAAATAAAAAGGGGAACTGGTTATAATAGCTTGCCTTTAGAACTGAAGCTGAAATACTCTATTTATATTAAGCTATCTGAATATAATCGTGTTATTAGACAGAAGAAGAAATGTTCACTATTACAAGGCAGAAAGCATGGTACAGAAGAATAAAAAAATGGAGAAACACAGGTATGTGGAATCTGTTGCCCCATGCAGTCTGGAAATACACGCTTGGCAATGAGATGTGAGTGTAGAGGAACAGGGCTAGTGAGAGATGTTGAGAAATATAGCAGACAGGATACTTCTTGCTGAAGTAACACATGAAAGAAGAAATTCAGAAAGTCAGAGCATACACTAATTAGTAAGATGACAGTAAACACAGATTTGGCAGAAAGTTGCAAAGCTTCTTAAGCAGCCAACATCCTACCTTTATATCCTGTGCTTTACTCATTTTCATGCTTTACCAGCATTTACAGAGAAAGCTTCTAAAATACTTATTTACTGTTAGATATGCTGCCAGGGTTTGCTCTTAATTATGCTGATGTAAACCCAACACAACTCCAGCAATTACACGGTATTTACAGAGGTGTAACTGCGATCAGAAACTTGTCTTTGGTGGGGGGTGGCATTATACTGGTTTTGCCTGTCCTTGCAGTATGTTTTTAGTTATTTGTTTTTTCATAGTTTCAAACAAAAGTTTTGCATATTAATAAATAATTCTGTGTCTGGTAAAACATAAATTAATATAGAATGTAATTGTAGTTGTCATAGGCAAACTGAAGATTCGAGCAAAAAAACCAACTGCATTTGTCTAAAGCAGTGTTTCCCAACCAGTGTGACACGACACAAAAGTGTGCTGTTAGAAATGAACAGGTGTGCCGTGGAATTTTGTCATGGCAATGAGCTCATACAATAGGTATGAGGATGGGGAATGCCTTAATAGGTGTGCCACGGAAAATTTGTATTAATGTAAGTGTGCCTTGGGCTGGAAAAGGTTGGGAAACACAGGTCTTAAGGCAGGGCTGTTTAACTGCAACAGCAGCTTGAGTCTCCAGGCTCCCCCTGCCTCCTCTGGCTTCTGCTTCCTGCCCCTGCCCCAGGGTGTGGCAAGTACAGCAAAGCGCAGGGAGTTAATAGTGAAATCATCACATCAGGATTTGACTAATCCAGGTGCTAATCAACTGACTTACTGTTGCAGTTTAGACAAAACCATTGAGACAACCATGAGTGGCTTTATAGTATGGCATAGTAGGGGCTTTGTTTAAGATAAAAGAAGTCTAGTTACCATATGTTCCCCGACTCCTCTTGATGCTGAGATAAGTTTAAGTACTTTTAGTAAGGGACTTATGTTAAAAATGTTCTTTAACAAAACTCTTGTTAATGATAAGAAAAAATAGGTATCTGTTTTTAAGGCTAGAACATTTCCTTTATGTCTGAGGAGAAAGTATGTTAAAGATATTAGGCATAGGGTACATATGGTATAGATGTTCAGGAGGTTAGAGGAGGTAAAAAATGGCCACCTGATGTAACTTAGTTTGCCTGCATACGGACCTTACACTTAAACCCCTAGTTAGGTTGATCTAAGTACTGAACTGTACAGATGTTCCCGGAAGGCTAGATTGGGAAAAAATGGCCAGCCCAATCTAACTTTAGTTCACTTGAGGTGCACTAAGTTAGATCGGACACAACTAGACTGATCTAACTGGATATCTGTACATGTTTGGCATGTAGCCCTGGGGCTGGGAAAGCCCATCTGCTCACCCCTGCCCCTGAGTTGTGCTTTTCCAACCCCTCACCATGGGCTATTTTTAACTTCCCTGACCTCTCCTCCCACCCCCAGACAGACAATCCCCCCACAGACCAATTGGCCCCTCCGAATTGGCCCCAAACCCCCACCCCTGAGCCCACAAACCATCCCCAGTGCTGGTTTTACAGGTGTTCACCAGTGCTGGGAGTCTGATTGAAGTAAGTTGGGATGGGGGTTGGTCTGCAGGTGGATTTGTTCATCTGGGGGTAGGGTGGGGTTGGGGAGCTAAGAATAGCCCCTGGCTCGGTGGTAGAGAGCCCCCTGATCCCACCAACAGCCCCCCAGGCCCCACCAAACCCCCTGAGAAACCACTAGCCCCTGATCCTGTCAACCCCCCTGCAGACCCTGCTAGTCTGCCAGTTCTGCCCCCCATGGCGCCACTAGCCCCCTGATTTATT